AATGGGTCGTTTACCGGCTGGATTTCCATGCGATATAATCTTGGCTATTTTTTCTACATGTTCCCGCCAGCCGCGCATTCGTCCCCATCTGATTATATTCTCCACCTTGCAGGTCTGTCTTATTGTTGCGCTCCTCACTCTATCCCGTAGTGTATTTCTAGCTATTGACCTTAGAGACCTCATCTCTGCCGTTTTTAACATACATTTGGTTTTGTTTGTGTCTGCTCGGGTCTCAATGCTGTAGGTGGTATTGGTCTTACGCATGTTTTGTATATTCGAACTTTACTGTCCATGCTCATGTTTGTTGTTCCATATGACGTCTCTTAAGCAACCGAAGCTTTATTGGTCTGGTATTCGAGATCTTTAAGTGGTTCGTTGCGGCTAGAAATATCTATTTCTAAAAAATTGTATTTGTATGTACTACTAAATTGTATTGTAAAAACTACTCACTATTTAGAGACGACACTAAAAAACACCGAATCTTTCATTGCGCGAGCGCGAAATTTATCCGTAGTAACCCGAAGCTCAGCTGACCGTCGGAATTGGCGCGCATTTTAAACCACTTTGTGACCATATGAAAATCCATCACATGAGATTTGAAACTTGAAACCGCCCCCACTGATTGCCTTTTTGTAAACGGTTTAACGGTAGCTTCTTGTTTCTACACGCAGACTTTTGTCTTTGCTTCCATCTTATAGATGTTTTCAAAGTTCCATCTTATAGACGTTTTCTAAGGAAAAAAATGCGCAGTTTTTGGAAAAATTTCAAAATTCCTGTTTCAGAGTCGGCTTTTTTGCTTTTTTTACGCTGAAACAAAGCGCGATTTTTTTGAAGTTTGTCCCACAAATGGAAAATCTGTGAAGCCACATTTTTCGAAGAATGAGGTTTTTAGAAAAATGTGCCGTTTATAGGAAGGTTTGAAAATTGTTCTTTCAGAGTCAGTTTTTTGCTTTTCTTGCGTCGAAACAATAGCGCAATTTTTTGAAATTTGACCCGTTAATGGGAAATCCGAGAAGCCACTTTTTTCTCAGAAAGGGTTTTTTTGAAACAATGGTTTCAACAAAGTCAGTTTTTTGCTTTTTTTTGTCAAAACAATGGCTCGATTTTTTGAAGTTTGGCCCATCGATGGGAAATCCGAGAAGTCATATTTTTGGTTTTTAGAAAAAATGTGCAGCTTTTGGAAAATTTGCAAAATTTCTGTTGCTGAGTCGGTTTTATCTTTTTTTACGCTGAAACAAAGCGCAATTTTTTGAAGTTTGGCCCATGGATGGGAAATCCGAGAAGTCATATTTTTGGTTTTTAGAAAAAATGTGCAGCTTTTGGAAAATTTTCAAAATTTCTGTTTCTGAGTCGGTTTTATTTTTTTTACGCTGAAACAAAGCGCAATTTTTTTGAAGTTTGGCCCAGCAAAGAATAATCCGTGAAGCCACATTTTTGGAAGAATGGTGTTGGAATCAACATCCAACAATTTATTTGGATAAAAATTTATTTGTACCACTTTAAATTTGGTCACCATGCTACGGGAAATAACATCAAACAATTCATGGTTTTATCAGACTATGAAGGATTTCACGGCCGGTTAAATTACATTTAGGAATGTTTTCCGGGCTTTGAAGCCGTGGTCTATCGGAATTTCTTGCTGACGTTTCGTCCACAACTGCGGTGGACATTTTCAAAGGCGATGAGGCAGTGGGCGAAGTGCGAAATACGACAGGGAATCCAGCAGTTAAATCAGTCTTAGTCGGAAAGCTCGGGAGATCACTTCGCCCACTGTCTCATCCCCTTGATAATGTCCACCGCAATTGTGGACGAAACGTCAGGAAGAAATTCCCATAGACCACGGCTTCAAAGCCCTTCCTAAATTCCTAAATGTAATTCATTGTTTGTACTACATTGGTCACCATGCAACGGGAAATATCATCAAACAATTCATTGTTTGTACTTCATTGGTGACCAAGCAACATTTTTTAATATTAGCTGTCATGTCGTAAGCGAAAGTTTAAAAATACAATCTTAAGATCCAAAAACCAATTTAATTAGTATCTAGCTCTGCCTTCCGGGCATCTGCGCGAGCTCTGGCTTATTGCCATCTTGCGCTACAACCAAAATACAGTCCACACAAACAGAACTTTTATGTGATTCCAACATAAAAATTTGGTCAGTTCGAGACGGATTTGTTCGTGCAGTGGAAATCAACCCTGCAGTGCATCCAGACGGATTTGTTGGTGGAGTGGAAAGCAATCCTGCAACGCATCCAGGAATTGGATCTCCTAGAACTTCCGGAGGACAACAGGTAGACCACAGATTAGAGATTTCATCAAGCTACAATCATTTCGTCAAGCTACGAGTCAACTTGGCGACTAAAATAGAGTTTAACAAATAGGAAGCAAGCAATTAACACAATCAACAAAACAAGTTATTAGATTTATGATCATAAAAATGATCCTAACACCGATTATAAAATCGAACAATTTTTAACAAGAAAACAAATCTTGCAAGATACGTATGAAAAGCTCCAAGATATTCAAGTAGAGCTGTTGTTTTTAAATCAAAATTACGATGAGTCAATTGATGAAGTGGACACTCTGTATGTAGACATAATTGCAAACATAAATGAATGTTTGCGCAAAACTACTTTAAGCAATTTGGTTAATCCTAAAAATATAACGAGCCCTACTGTTCCGCAAAGTCAGAGTTCAGACTCTATTTCAACTACTAAGTTACCAGCTATTGAAATACCCATCTTTGATGGAAAAGACCTTACAAAGTTTAAGTAATTTTTAGATATTTTTTCTGCAGTAATTGACAAAAATCAGCATTTAAAGGATGTAGAAAAACTATTTTATTTGAGAAATTATTTAAAGGGAGAAGCGCTGAGTTTAATTGATAATTTACCCTTAATAAACTCTTCGTATCAAGAGGGATTAAAAATTTTAAATAATAGATACAATAATGAGAATATGATCATAAATTCACATATTAGTACAATTTTGGACGTGAGGAAATTTAACTGCTGGTTCCGCTATGTTGATGACACTTTTGTTGTTTGGGGCCATGGGCTGACTGAACGGGAAGACTTCCTGAGGCACCTCCTCTCAATAAACCCTAAAATTCAATTCACTATGGAAGTGGAGAAGGATGGGCGACTGCCTTTTTTGGATGTCTTGGTGACCAGAAAAGCCAACGGAA